ATTTATGAATATGTAATATATCAAATCTACATTTAAATAATGAAAATTTTCCTTTATGGAGCTGTCACAGAGCCAGTGTACAATTCCTGAACAATTAAGTATTTCTGCACTAAAAAAAAAAAAAAAAAAAAAATAGGGGCCAGAAGGCCAAGGAAATAAAGGGAAGTACCTTGATTCAGGGCTTTTTAGGAAATAGCCTTAGAACACTGTGACTGGTCAGGGGAGGCTGTCATGATGTGATAGGAGGAGATATAGGTAACAAAGGAAAGGGGAATGGGAAAGTGAGAAACACCGTGCTTTCCCACCCACCTCCACCCTGCCTAGTATTTAACAGCCCCTTCGATTCTTAGAACAGAATGTAGTCCAGCCACAAGACTCCCCGCCCCCACCAGAAGTTGTCACTCACTCTAAAAACTAATAAGGGTTTATATGTTCTTTAGGACCCTGTCAGCCCTAGGGGACTGAGGTTACATCTGTCTTGCTTTGAATGGCAACCTTAGGCGTTACCATTCCCCTGGGAAGGCTCCAAGGAAAAGAATGCAGCAGGGGAACCAAAGTGACTGGGTTATGTTTCTCTAGGAATAAAGGACATAAAAGAGGAAGCCTGAGGATGCTGGAGAATGAGAGGGTGGGCAGGTTTTGCATAGATCCCTCAGACTTAGGAAGACCAAATAGTCTGCCTGCTGGACAGGCCACTCTCATACTGAAAAGTAGTATATAGTAGGGTCTGGGCAGCCCTGGCAGCACTTACACGAGGCCAAGCCCATATCCCTTCTCTGCAGAGTCTTAAGCCTGGTTGTCTGTGAATCCCTTTTAGCATCTTATGGGGCCCAGGATGTGTCCTAACCCCAGGATTTCCAGGACACCTAGGCTGTACTATGTCCCTTTCAGGTCTTTGCCCCGAGTCAAGTTGAGGTTTTTGCACAGAGGCCTGGCTGGCATTTCTTTACCCTGATGTTGGCAGGGCATTTAGTGAAGGCATTATGACAGACATCTGCTATAGCCAGTGCAGATATAGGCCTGGAAAAATAAGGTGGCTGGTGGAAAAATAAGGTGGCTGGTGCCCCTGTGCTAAGCAGGCCCAGCATACAATTGCCATAATAGTCAGGGACTACCTGAAGATAGCAGTATCAGGATCTGAGGAGATGACCCTCAGAAGGCCAGTGGAGACCTAGACAGTTGAGATGGCTCTTGAAGGCACTTAATACTTGAAGGCCATCTGTGTGTATATGTGTTGTGTGACTTTTCTTGGGGAGATGTGAACAAGCATCAATGTTCACCCCAGATAGGGCCCTGACAATGGACCAAATATTTGATTCCTCCCACATCTAGCTTGGTGAAGCAATGAGTTTATTGGAGTCACTTGCAAGAGCATGGGTGACTCAAAGGCAGCTTCATCACCAAAAGGCCCAACCAAGCATGAAAGATGACTCAGGAAAGCTGCATCCCTGAGGTTTTCCTGATCATCTTGCAGACAGCTCCACTGAAGAGACTCTCCTCTTTCCAGCAGTTTTCTACTTTTACAACCTGGGTGTGTGTGTGTGTCTTGTAAACATACTGCATGTCATGAGCACCCCCTTCTGCCTCCAGGAAGGAATGCTTCAAAGGGGTGGGGGGGGGCAGGGGACTGTGATATAAGCAACCTGTTTGAAGTTCTAGGGCTCTTCTGTAGTAGTATTCAAAGGCTTCTACTTCAACTTGCTTATGTATCCCCATCAAAATAGTCTATCAAACACGAAAACCAAAGCTCAGTGAGAGAGAATCTCAAAGGATATTTCCAGTGTGGCATTCAGAGGTCAGTAAACCTTAAAGGGTATGTTAGTTTTCTGTTGCTGTGACAAGACACCAACTTAAATAAGAGTTTAAGCTTTATTTGAGCTTATGGTTCCAGAGGGGTTAAAGTCTGTCAGGATGGGGAGGTATGTGTGTGTTCTTTAAATTCGCTGAATTATTTTTATTTTATGTTTATGAGTGTATTGCCTGTATGTATGTGAGTGTACCCATGTCGTGCATTGCCGCGGAGGTCAGAAGAGGGCTTCAGATTCCCCTGGAACTGGAGTTAAGGATGGTTCGTAGCCGCCATGTGGGTGCTGGGAATAGAACCCAGGTTCTCTGTAAGAGCTCTTAACTGCTGAGCCATCTCTCCATCTCCCTGTTTTTCTTTTAAAAAATATTTTTCTTTTATGTGTATGAGTGTATTGCCTGTATGTAAGTGCAGCTGTGTTGTGCAGTGCCTACAGAGGTCAGAAGAGGGTGTTGGCTCCTCTGGAACTGGAGTTACAATGGTTGCCATGTGGGTGCTGGGAACCCAACCCAGGTCCTCTGTAAGAGCAGCAGTGCTCTTAACCACTGAGCCATTTCTCCAGCCTGTCTTATTCTGTTTTTGTTTAGTGATGTTCTTAGAGGGGTTCATGACATAGTTTTGAGGAAGATGAGGAGCCAGGCTTCTTAGCCCCATTAGCATTTAGACATATGCAGCCTTTGCTCCGAGTGGCAGTTCAGTACTGTAAATATGACCATGCAATCAGAAATCATACAAAATAATCTTAAAACTCGGGAGTTATTCCTTTAATGACCTTTAAAAATTTCCTTTCAAAACATTGCTGTCTTATCATAACTTATACATCTATAGAGAAACAAATAATGTTTTCATAATCGTTTAAAATAGCACAGATCTCAAAGTGCCTTCTTTATCTCTGTTACTTTGTGCTGTCTTTTTCTTCTCCCCCCACCCCAACAACATTATCAAGCTGGGCGTGTGGTTCATGCTAATAATTTCAGCATGTGCAGGTGATTTTGAGTTCCAGGCCAGCCTGGGCTACATACCATAAACCTTTCTTTTTAAAGAAAAAAAAGAAAATATTTTTTGTATGTTTTGCCTAAAAGTATGTATGTGTACCATGTGAGTGCAATGCCTGGGGAGGTCAGAAGAGGGTGTTGGATCCCCTGGAACTGGAGTTATGGATGGTTGTTAGCAGTCACATAGGTGCTGGGAATCAAACCTGGGTCCTCTGGAAGAAGAGCAAGTGTCCTTAACTACTATGTCATCTCTCCAGCCCTTCCACGAACTTTTCTTTAAAAAGGAAGCTAAAAAGTATTTGAGCACTGCTTACTTTTTTCTGTTTTATTATTTAATTTAAAATTTTGTGTATTCACGTGGGAGGGTGGTTGGGTGCTACAGTGCCCTCATGGAGGTAAGAGAACAGTGTAAGGGTTGGTTCTCTCCTTCGCCCATAGGATTCTGGGAATCAAACTCAAGTTGTCAGCCTTGGCAGCAAGTGCCTTTACTCACTGAGCGGTCTCATTGGCCTGCTTTCTTTTTCTATTGACATCTTTTTCTCTGCAAAACAAAACCCCTCAACCCATTCAAAGTAGCTACTCATTAACAAAGAAACCAGAAAACAGCTGCTGATTCTTCCTTCTCAGCTTGGATAAACTGAAAAACAGCAACAATGAAACAGCCCAACATATGTACATTTCGGTGCCTTGCACTTAAGTATTAATGATTAAAATGACTTAATTTACTAATGATTAAGTGCTGGATTAATAAATCAACAGAACGATGAATTCACTTTGATTTCTAGTAAGTGCAGAAATTACACAATACAGGTGAATTCATAAATTACACAATATAGGTGAATTCATGCATGATTGCATAGACAGCAAGGTATATAATTACATAGTACCTAAGAACCTGATGAAAGTTGTGGCCTTTCTCCTTTCAAAAGTGCACATGATGCATAGTGTATGTGGGGAGTCACAAAGTTCCTGACATCCGATTTGAAGTCCTTTTTATGAATCTAGAATTATAGTATGAGCTAAAACCTAGCCAGTCCTACAGTGGTAAGTCTCCCACACTTCTGGCACTTTCTCCAGAAAGGTAAAGCTTGGAGCATGTCATCTGTCACTGGGAAATGCACTTGATGGGGACTGTGCAAGTTTCTTCAACCTAGCTTCTTCACCTACTACCATCCCCCACATGCTCCTCTAAAATAAAAAAAAAATCCTGATCCAGAAAAAGACTGAGCAGCACGTTGCTGAAAAACAGAACTACAGCTCAGTCCAAAGGGATTTCCTTGCATAGGACAGATGCCACTGCTGGGACAAGATGGCTTAGTGGCACCTCCAAGCCCACTGCTGGAGCATCCTATTCTGTCCTCTTTCCCCCCTCTCCTCCCTTTCCTTTTCCTCTATTTTCCCTCTCCTTTTTCTTCCCCGCTGCCTCTCATGTTGACCTCCATGAGCAGTGTTTAATCCAGTCTGTAGTTCTAGAGATTCTAAGTCTTCATTAAAGTCCCAGAGAAAGACTGTTTCTCTTCAGAACATTTTGATGGTATCTAAGGGATGCATTTTTGCTGTATAAACTTATGTCTGGAGAAGTAATTTTGATCAAGGGAAGGGATTAGGACATTGCTTATGTTGATTTTAATTTTTATTTTGTATTTATATTTTTATCTTTTGTGTGTGCGTGTGTGTGTGTGTGTGTGTCCATGTGCCATGGTGCCATGTGGGGGTGAGAGGACCTTCTACCAGAATCTCTCCTTCCATTATGTTGAGTCTTGGAGATTGAACTCAGGCTGTGGGCTTATCCTCTAAGCCATCGTATCTGCCCGATTGGTTTTCTAAATGATTTTGCTTGAAAGGAAGAGGAATGCCTAAATAAAATCTGTGGATGAAGCCACACAATGGCTGCTCCTCTGGAATGAACTGCAAAACTTTCAACTGGGAGTGTACGTCACTCTACCCATTCAAGGGCAAGATGATAAGGTTCTATCAGACCAGCTGTCGAACAGAACCTGAGTCAACCAAGGTCATGTGTGTTTTGACTTGTAACCACAACTTTGCCTTGTCTAAAGTCCATTCACACTATAAAGCAAAGTATTCATCTCTCCAGTCTAGCACCCTTAGAAGCGGCAGGAGCCATAGACTAATTTGTTGGAAGCATTTTCCAACTTCTCTACTGCTTTGTTTCCACAGAATTTTAAACTGCTATCTCTGAGGCCAAAGACTGCAAGATGATTTTGGAAATGCTGAACCCCATGCATTATAATGTCACCAACATGGTCCCGGAAGCTATGTCTGTCAGTGCCATGCCGCTCCTGCTGTTCATGGGTCTCCTTCTTTTGATTTGGAATTATGAGAGCACGTCTTCAATTCCAGGTGAGTCACTTCTTTAGTTCTGTACCCAAGGAGATGGTTTCATTAGGTTCTTTGGTCCGTGACACTTAAAATAATTATATTATTTTTACCAAAGATGAAAAAACAATTTAAAACAATTATGTGTCCATGTTGGTACATCATGGAAACTAACTTAGCTAGCCTCCTCCAGTCTACGTGCTGCTTTGGCAGGTTAGATTTGGGGTAGACAACCTTTAAAGCCAGCCGGAGATGGAGTGAAGGAAGATAAAATTCTAGAGGTTTATGTCAATCTTTAAAAAGCGGATTCTAATTCACTCCAGCTCTACTCTGAAGGAGAATGTCTCTGGATTGCTCCTTGCCTTCTGTCTTTCCCCTTTCCATCTTGCCTTCCCTCCACCATCTCCCTTTCTCGTATTTATTCCTTCTCTCTATCTGACTCTTCATTTTCTCTTGTTGGCAACATGTTGACAGTGGTATCATTGTAAGGCTGAATGTGACCTGGGCAACGGGAGACATTGTAAGGCCGAATGTGACCTGGGCAATGGAGAATAGGGGTTACTACTGTTCCCTGGCAGCATCACATTCTGACAGAATCTTCAACAAAGCCCGTGTGTCAATCAAAAGTAGAGACTAATAAAATTATCCAGGCAATTTCAGTGAAAAACAAACAAACAAAATCCCTCACCATTCTGCGACTGCTGTTGGACTAGTCAGATATCAAATCAGCTCAGAAGAACCAAACATTTCAGATTTCTTTAAATTTGGGTGCAAACCCTCACATGAGCACCAGCTTCCAACTCTATTGTAAGAGATCCAACAAGGCTTGCTTCAATAGCGTGTGCTGAAGCTCTGCACAGGCAATTGAGAGTGGGGGTCACGGGGCCAGGACAAAATGCTCTGTGTCTGGAGTCGTGATGTTTTCCAGATAATGGCCTGTCTCTCGGATTCAGCCTGGCACTGTAGGTTACTTTAATGTCTAATTTAGTGGAACATTTAGTTAATCTTATTCTCCTCTCCCTCATGGGGTCACCTCTGAAGGGGAGAGTCTCAGAGCTGAGGGAAAAGCCTCTGTGGCTTTGTCTTGAGTGCTCCCTTCCTTGAAATTCTTCTCTCCTGTAAGCTCCTTGTTCAGTATAAAGGAGTGATTGAGGTAAAGAGAGTAGGGTGTGGTGGAATGTTTTTTCCTTGTCATAGGTTCAGATGTTAACATCCAACCCACCTGTATTAACAGAGCATCTTGTAAGGAGAAGTCAACATTGCTATTTAACATGGAAGCAGATTCCTAGGCCCATTCCCAGAGTGTCTGAATCACAATGTCCAGGCCTAAAACATGCATTTTAAAAAGAAGTGGCAGCTGTGGAAACTGATCGCCCCTAGCCCTGAGTCAGGAAGCAGGTGGCACTTTACTATGTTCACCACTTCTGGGTTAGGGACCTGCCATACTGTCCTCAGTGGCAGTCACCTAGACAAGTACAGTGGTCCTCAGCCCTGTTTGAGGTAGGGCCTCCAGGTTGCTACTGTAAAAGCTTTCCTTGGGTGGTTTTTCATGAGTAGCTGGAGTTGAGAACCACAGAGATAAGCCCAACTCCATGCGACAGAAGGGGAAGTGGCTCTGGAGAGATGATTTGCCATGTCATGTGTGAGAAGCAGATAGTCCAAGGAAATGAGGAGTTAAATCCCAGGGAAGGGAAATGGCCTGCTGATACCTGACTAGAAGGAAGATGGAGCTCCATGGGGTGGCCAGGAGCCCTCAGTCTCCAGCTGCTAGCCAAGGAGTTCCTAGCATTATGCTTTTCCTTTGAAACATGAGGTCTTGTCAGTGTTCTCCAGGGGCACAGAGTAAGATTTTCTGGCTCCTGGATGGGGTGGAAGGTAAGAAAACTGGCCAGTTTTCATCACTCCTTCTAGCTCCCTTGAATGACAGCTCTCTGGGTTCTTGGATTTACAGATTTAGGGGTCCTCAGAAGCCTAGGGGAGTTCAGGAGGCATACTGATTAGGAGCCCGCCTTTAGTTTCAGTTAAAGCAGTGTCCTGCCCATGTTCTCTGGAAAGAGAAGAGGTGTAACACAGTCAGTGATGTTGTGGGGACTCAGAGCTAAGCTTCTTCACACATGCTTACTGAGGAGTCTGGTTGGATCAGATTCGGGAAAGGTGTGGGTTCTGACCTGGGAGGTGGCAAAGACAGACAGAAGATATGGAGGGAAGGGATCGAAGAGTAAGGGAGGAAAGATTCATTCCTGTGGGATGGGGTGTCGCTTCAGTCAGTTCTAAGAAACACTTCAAAGTCCTCTGATCTCTGCCCAGGACTTGCTGTTACCTGCTACCTGACAGCCCTCCCTTCCCCCAAGAATACATAGCCACTCCAACCTTGGACATTGGTCTTCTCCCTCCAGAAGCCACACTTGGCCCTGGGCACCAGATTCCCAGAGCTGGACACCAGGAATCACCACAACAAAATATTTCACAGAAAACTGTACAGTATGATAACAGACTTGCTGTCAGAGTCTAACACAAGGAATAGAATGTTACGGCATTCCAGAACTTCCTGATGACCCCCTCCCATCTCCTCTTCCTCCCCTCCTCCCTGCCTCTTTCTCCTTCCATCTCCTCTTCTACCTGTCTATTTTCTTCCTCCTTTTTTCTGTCTTTCTGTATCTCTTAGATATTTTCCTGAATTTTGTAGTAATCACTCTCGTTTTTTTTTGAATTTTAAAATTATTTTTGTTTTATGTGTATGAGTATATTGCCTGCAATGTATATAAATGTATCCATGTCATGCAATGCCTACAGAGGTCAGAAGAGGACGCTGTAGTTCCATGGAACTGGAGTTCTGGATGGTTGTTAGCCTCCAAGTAGGTGCTGGGAATCGAACCCAGGTCCTCCACAAGAGCAGCCAGTGCTCTCAACTGCTGAGCCATCTCTCCAGTCTCCACTCTTTTTTTTTTTAAATAGGTTTTCAGCCAAATTCATATCCCCAGACAGTATCATTTTTATCTGGTTTTACATGTTTTAGCAGTTAAAGTGTGCATTTGTCTATCTTGCTCCTTTTGGTCACTGTTAGTAGTAATCCATGCTGGGGCATGCCACAGTACTTCCTTTTCATTGCTATTTAGCATCGAGGGTTATGAATATCTCATAGTTCATCTACCAGTGTCTCTAGTCGGGGTACTACGGATAGTATCACTATGAAGGTGTGCGCACAGGTTCTCGAGGGTGTATTCCTAAGCATAGAATGCCACAGCTTTCTGACAAGGACAGCTGGTAAGCTTTCCTAGATGATGGCTCCAAGGAGGCTGTCTGGACACATCAGTGCAGGGAACTATTCACTGCTCCCAGGGCAAAGTGAGAAAACCTGCATTATCCCAGACTAGAGCAGCATTGATAATCTGAGAAGCTGCCTAATGTGGAAGCAACTAGAATGCATCCCTCATATTTTACCTCCTAAAGCATTCATTTTTCCATGTGGGGGGTGGTGCAAGATTTACCTATAAATGCCAGGAATATACACACATATGTATGCGTATTATAATTAATTTTACATTTTTTCACATCTTAACTGCCCTGGAAGTCGATAGGGTTGTTAAGACTTACCATGACATCTCCAGTCCCTATCCTGGAACCAGCATCTGCAGTAGGGTTCCAGTAAATGTTTATTGGATGAATTAAGGTAACATACAGTTGATCATTAAGACCTAAAACTGTGCTTCTCTTCCAGTTAGTATGCTTAGGTTCTCAGCCCACATATCAGCTTTCTAACAATCTCCATTTTTTAGTAGCTATAAATTTCTAGTGTCATTCCTTATTTTTAAAAAATGTTTTCATTTTAATACTTTTTATGTTGTGCAAACTTTTAAAAATATTTTATTTATGTATCTAAGCATACCCCTGTCATGTTGTGCAATGCCTGTGGGAGTCAGAAGAGTTACAGATGGTTGTTAGCTGCCATATGGGTGCTAGGAATTGAACCCTGGTCCTCTGTAAGGGCAGCCAGGACTTTTGACCACTGAACTGTCTCTCCAGCCCCTTTGTATGTATGTATGTATGTTTGTTTGTTTGTTTGTTTGTTTTTTGAAACAGGCTCTTACTATGTAGCTCTGGCTGGCCTGGAACTCACTATGTAGACCAGGCTGGCTTCAAACTCACAGAAATCCACCTGTGTCTACTTCCTTAGTGCTGGGATTCAAAGGTGTGTGCCACCATGCCTGGCTAAAATGTAGTTCTTTTCTTTTTCTTTTAAGATTTATTTAGAATCTTTATGTGCCTATGTGTGTATGCCATGTGTGTGTCGGTATCCCTAGAAGAGGGCATTGGCTCCCCTGGAGCTGGAGTCACAGGTGGTTCCAACATGGGTGCTCGGAACAGAACTCAGGTCTTCTGGAAAAGCAGCAGGCGCTCTTAACTGCTGAATCATCTCTTTTTTTAAAGGAGAATTTCATTCACTGTGTTACCCAGGCTGGTCTCAATCTCCTGGGCATCAGTGAACCTTCCGTCTCTATCTCCCAACCAATATGGACTACATGGGCAGACCACTGCACCTGGCTGTCATTCTTATCTTAATTTGAGTAGTGCCCCCCAAAATGTAAGCCTTCTGTTGCATGTCTTTGTCTCTCACAGGGCTTGCATATTAAGGAAATAAATATTTGTGGACAAATCTACTCTCAGTTATGTCAATACTTGGCCTCATGTGGACTAAATGTATGTTGTGTGGTATTTTCCATTTTTAATAAAAATGTAAATAGAACCTAAAGTACCCTAAATAAGAACAGTGTTTAAAAATTCGTCCTTTATATTATATGCACATGCGTAGTTTTTAAAATGTGCTTAGAAACATTTATTGAACATCTATAATGTACTAAGCTATAAGTACCTTGTATTTTGTACAATGCATATCTTAATTGATTAAAAGTTGGCATGTCTAATATTTTAAGGGAATATATATTCAATAAAATCTTCCTACTAAAAAAAAATTTTTTTTGGCCTTTTTGAGATAGGGTCTCCCTGTAGCCCCAGCTGTCCTAGATTCACTATGGAGACCAGGCTGGCCTCAAACTCACAGAGATCTGCCTGCCTCTGCCTCCCGAGTGCTGGGATTAAAGGTGTGTGCCACCATGCCCAGCTTTTTATTTAAATTTTTTAAAGAACATAAATTATTTTAGTATTAATGCAGTCATCTATGATATATCATAGTGTTAACAAATTTATCATCCAATTGATAATCTTTGACAATATTCTGATTCTATAAATATTAGCAAAGATCTTTTCTTCAAACAGGGAAAGAAGTTCTACCAATTGTGTTTATAGGAACTCGGCTACTGCAAAGTGAATGATTAAACATTTGTTTTCCAAGTTTGGGAGTAAATTTTCAGTTCAGAAGGTTCAAGCTTACACCATCTAGATTATTACACAACTCTCATTTCCTCATATGGTTAGGTGGTATGTTTGGGCTCATAAGGATTTCACTGACAGCATGGAATAAAAAACAAAAATTTAGAGAAATTGCATTATATAACAATTTTTAAAAGTATTAAAATTTTTGTGCTTTTTAAATTGAATTTTTGTGAATTTCATACTATGTTTTGATTGAATTTAGATCCCCTCCCCCCCATCTGAACCCCCCTACTGTCTTTACCCTTCCACCCAATTTCATGTTCTCTCTCTTTCCCTCTCTTTACACACACACACACACACACACACACACACACACACACACACACACCACTGGAGTCTCATCAACCTACCAAGAGCCTTACCCTTAAATAAAACCGACTCCCTCTCCCAGCAGCCGTCGGTTGCCAATAGTTCCTCAAAAAAAGTTTTAATCTAGTTTTTTGTTGTTGCTGTTTTAACCACTGCTAGTAAAATCAAACTTCCAGGCTTGACTGGAACCCTACCACTGGGGAGGCTGAGGCAGGAGAATTTTGATGGTCAAGGCCAACCTAGCTAGTTAGAGCCTATCCCAAAAACCTGAACACAAAGCACATGCGTATTTTTATGCCATGATGAAACCCATTACTTTGTGTGCTAACCTAAAACTTTAATAAAATGAACAACCAAATCCAAGCTATAAATGTGTTCTGTGACATAAGCCACATGAGATTCCCCAGCGGGTCTCTGGATTCATGTTCTTTGCAGCACTGCCTCGTCTACGTAAGCAAAGCTAGGAGTGGGCACTGCTCTTGGCTAAAACCAGATCTATGTTGCTGAATTCCTCAGTTTAAAAGAGGAGTCTTAGCAATTCCTGGTCCAGAGAAAAAGAAGAAAAAGAAACAAAAAGAAAGACACTGAGGACTGATGGCGAGAACTGTAATTCTGTCACCTGGACGTATCATGTTTAAGAGCCAGCTGGGAGTTTATCAGAAATGTTCTCTAAAATAATCAAGGGAGACTGAATCCAACAGTGATTATCAGCGATAGCTTTTCAAGTATTTTTTTGTATTTTGACATCAACTGTTAACCTTAGTCTTTGATACACAAATAAAAATGTATTTTAAGGCAAGGTAAAAAGAGGAGTCTTAAGCAAACATCTCATGAGACAAAATACAGCTAAGAATGGAGTCTTTTATTTTCCTCCCAAGCAGAGTCATTTTTGAGAGAGAGAGAGAGAGAGAGAGACAGAGACAGAGAGACAGAGAGACAGAGAGAGACAGAGAGACAGAGAGAGACAGGAGAGAGACAGAGAGAGAGAGAGCTGTGGTTTTTCTGAGATTGGACACTGTCTTTGCAGACCTTGCTCCTCTTTAATGAAAGGAAGTCTCACTCAGTTCTAATCTATCCATTCTGTCAGCTGGATATTCAAAAGCAAGGCTTCCCAACAGTTCTGTCAGCTTTTCCTGTCACCGTTTCTATGCTTATTACCAGACATATCAACTGACTTGCATTTGAGACTTTTTGAAAAAACTCATTTTGAGACAGGGTCTCACTATGCAGCCCTGGCTGGCCTGGAACTTGCTATGTAGACCAGGCTGGCCTTGAACACCCAGAGATCCTCCTGTTTCTGTCTCCTGAGTGCTAGGATTCAGAGGTATGTACTACCATGCCTGACCCAGTATTTGAGACCCTTTAAATAAATTAGCACACATCCCCCTGTTCACTGGGACTGATATGACAGATTAAGAGGATGGTATGATGTGGCTACCGATATGCTTTTCATTCATGGTTGGGTAGAGATCCCTGAGTTACACTTGTTTTTGTTTTAAGTCACTTACTTAGTGACTCACAAATATACCACAGAAGATGTAAGGAACATTAATATATGAAAGAACAATTGTTGTTGGCATTATTGAGATGCTTAGCTGTCTTCTCATGATTTGTTGTAGGTCCTGGCTACTGTCTGGGAATTGGGCCCCTCATTTCCCATGGCAGATTCCTGTGGATGGGGATTGGAAGTGCCTGCAACTACTACAATAAGACGTATGGAGAATTCGTGAGAGTCTGGATCAGTGGAGAGGAAACGCTCATTATCAGCAAGTGAGTCCGTGTATAATCGGAGATGTAAGGGCTTGGGGCACAGCTCAGTGAGAAGGTGTGCTGAGCATGTACAAGGCCTTGGTTCAGTTCTCAGTACTCAGAACTTGATTAGCATGACTACTGCTAAAAGGCATGCTTTAAAATCAAGGCTGGAGTGTTTTCTATTAAAAAAAAATACCCATCTGATTTCGACACCTTGATATCTTTGCGGAAATGAAGGTGACAGATGACCGTGTAGCAGCCTAACACTGCGGACTGGCAAAATAATTGAGGTCTTGTTGAACTGAAGCAGGAAACTCACAGATAAAGATCCATGGAAAGCTGGGAAATCATTCAAAATCTCTGAGTAGCAAGTGTGGAAACTTCAGATTCAGATGATTTGGTTGTGATGAAACATGCTTTAGGGACAGATATTCTCTTTTCTGCTTTCCTGAGATTTTGGTCTTATTTCTACAAGTAAGCATTAGAAAAAAAAAAAAAAAATCCAAACAAGCAACCCCTGCCAACCCCGCCAAAAACTCCTTAACAAAAAAGTAGAAGCAGGGATATCTGAACAGTAGTTTTCAGTGTGTCCATCCTGCAGGCTTCTGAACAGCTGTTAAGACATCAGGCAGTGGAGGAGGACACCACTAGCTGCTACCCTTCTTTGTTTGTTTGCTTGCTTTTGAGACAGGGTCTCGTTACATATCCTTGGTTGGATAGAACCCACTACGTGGACCAGATTGGCCTTGAACTCACAGCAGTCCTCCTGGCCCTGCCTCCTAGTGCTGGGATTAAAGGTGTGCACCACCACACCGTTTTCTGCCCTCTTATTAATAGCTGTGTGCTGGTGTCTTGACTGAGCAATCTGAAGCAAATCAAGATCAGTTTGCCCATTAAAAAATTATGTTCTCCCTCCCACATTGTTATGTTTTTCTGGATTACCTTTGCAGGTTGAATTCACTCTAGGATTAACTAAATAATCATTGACTGTTAGGAATGGGCTTTGCTTTCTTGTTTACTAGTTTCTTGGCTGCTGAAATGGAGACATTCAAAGAAGGGATATTTGTAGAATTTCAGCTATCTTAACTAGATTTAGAGCAAAGTTATCTGCTGATACCATCTCATTAACATTTTAATATTTGAAATCCCTGATAGAGCTTTACCCATAAACCAAAAATGACCAAAGTATTTATAACTTTGTTATTATTTTATCCAGCTACAGAGATTGCTGTTCAAAAAAGTGAAGCATTTCTGCAAACTGCTTGATTGATATTTTTTTTTTGAGGCCAGGAAAAAAAAATTATGTCTATATAGTATTAGTCACTTTTCTGTTGCCGTGATAGAAACACTGATCGAAGTAATTTATAGAAGGAAGAGTTTATTTGAGCTTACGGTTCCAGGGGAATTATAGTCTATCGTGGCAGGGAGGCATGGTGGCTGGAGGTGGCTGGAGCAGGAGCAGCAGAAGCTAAGCTTGTACATCATCACATAGGCACAGGAAGCAAGAGAGAGAGCGACTGGAGATCTGGGAAGGCTTTAGAACTCTCTAAGCCCACCCCCAGTGACGTGCTTCCTCCAGGATAGCCACACCTTCTAAAACCTCCCAAAACAGTGCCATCATCTGGGGACAGAATGTCCAAATACTTGGAGCCTGTGGGGGACATTTTCATTCAAACCACCACATATGTAATTTCATCAAGTATCATGGTATCCTCAAAGCCCAGCTCTCTGAATTCATTACAAAAAGAAGGGTGCAGGGGAGAAAGTGTGCTCTAATTCCAAATATTTCAGCCTATCCAGTAACATTATTTTGAATCTATCTAATTCCTTACTTTTTGCCTGGGGTTTCTCTGTTTCATTCATTTTGATGTTGTAGCTCTTTCAAGAATAGCTAAGGCAGACCACATCTGTACAACCAACCATACACAGCTGCAGGGGAAAGGGTCATTTCATGGGGCTTCTTGTGAACCAAGGCAGAGGTTCCTGGGCTCTCTTCAGCAGCTCCCTTCACCAGCGGCCACAAAGCTCAGAAATGCACATGCTTCTACTCTGCCCTGACCCACTAAATAAAAAATCTGGGCTGGGCATGGTGGCACATACCTTGAGTCCCAGCACTTGGGAGGCAGAGGCAGGTGGATCTCTGTGAGTTCAAGGCCAGCTTGGTCTACATAGTGAGTTCCAGGACAGCTGGGGCTACAGGGAGACCTTGTCTCAAAAAAAAAAAAAAAAAAAAAAAAAGACCAAAAATCTGGGATCCCATGGTCTACTCTAACAAGCATTCAGATAATTCTGATGCATTGCTCCAATGGTTAGATCATAATTATTATTTAGTTGGACTTGTTAAGGTCTGTTGAGTGCTAGTCAAATTCTAGCAAATTTAGTATGTTCTTGCTATGCCTTTAGTGTTTGGTCATTTTTCAGCTGGTTATAGTCTTAAATATGTCCTGTAACTGATGACATTTAGGTTAGGGGACTGAGTTACTTTTGCTTTTTTATCCCCCAGTGCAGAAAGCTGCCTTACACTCCCATTCCATTCAGCATGCCTTCCTTTCCCTTGACAAACAGGTGAAGAAAGCCTTGGGAGATTTGCTCAAGGGCATATCTACCTGAGCAGTGGTTCCCACCTAGACCACTGTAGTAGAGTAGGTGGGGGGGAGGTTCGGAGGGATATGTGGGAGCCCTAGGACCTGGGCTCTGAGATCAGAGTCTTGGCATGGACATACACTAGTGCTGGTTATGCTCTCTGGGTGATTCCAGCGAGCTGTAGAGCTTGGGAAACTCCTACTTGGAGAGAAGGGAAGAGGAAGAAAGTTCTAGGGCAAGAGCACCCTGGGACTAGAACAACTAAGCGGTGTTGTTCTGGTTTGGTCTTTGCGTTATTCTGAAGTCTAGCCAAGGTGGTGGTGGTACAAGAGTAGGTTTGTAATAAAATGATGGACTTGAGAACAGAGTACCAGGCAGAAATCTCTCCTTGATAGTGGACACTTAGAAACTTAGGTTACCGATGAATTCCTGTAGTGGGGTCCTTGTCACAATCAGGGTGGTCTCTGGGCCACTCTATCTGTCTTCATCAGGAAACAGACCTTAGTGACTCCAGGCAGCGTCGAGCTGATTGGCACAGAGGCATGGACTAGGCTGGCCCGCCCTTCCCCCAGCTCTCCCAGTTCATTTCTTGTGATGTTCTCTCAGGCCTTTCACTTGTTGGAGTCTTTGTGTTCTCCTTAATTGCTTCAGGGCTGCTCCATTTTGTTGTTAAAAGCTGAGCTCCCCTTAGGAATAGGACATGTTTGTCCTCATCTCCTTTCCTTGTCTGCTCTTCAAGTCCTTTCCAGAACTACCTGTACCTCTTGAAAAGACCCCATTGGACCTCAGAAAGCTTTTTATTTTGATTTGAATAGTTTGCCAGATATCTTTTCCTTTTGAAAAGTTTGAGGTCTGTAGTCATTACAACTTTGTAGAGATTGTAGTTCAACTTTTCTGACCAACTCTGACCCGAAGGGGCAGGCAGGGGTTATAGAATTTCAGGGAGTAGATCAGGAGAAATGCTGCTGGCAGCCCAACTGGACAGCATGGAGTCTCTGAGGTAAGGCTCTGAGATATGGAGTCTTAGGAAGTCAGCAATGAGGTGTACACAGTGCCCTTGGGCAACTAGCTGCATTCCACAGCACGGCCTCCAGATGGTGTATGTGAAGTTATATTTCTATTATGTGTGTATATATTGGTTTTTATCATAAATACAAAAATGAAAGAATGAGTGACATCCATAAAGGAGAATTAACAGCATGCTAATGAAGATTTCATTTGCTTATCTGTTAGCAATTAATATAGTCATTAAGGTTTCATTTGCATATCTGTTAGCAATTAATATGCTCACTAAGGTTTCATTTGCACATTTGTCTTAATTATGTATAAATTTACAAGGAATTCATTGTATTCTTTCACCTACACTGAGAACTTATGAACTAGTAGTAATAATTGGCTTCCTATTGCTTTGCTAAATGAAATAATTTGCCTAGAAGTTACTGTGTATACTAGGTGTCCCCAGAGTGTACTCTGGGAAAACAGCAGTTTCATATTTAGGGAATACAATCAGCCCACATTCCTACCCTCACAGAGCAATATATTGTTAGTATACTGTCAAGCAACAAGGGAAATGTGTACTACAGTCATGCATTCCTTAACAACAGGGTTATGTTGAGAGAGATGCACCCTTAGGCTATTTGTCTTTGCACATCCCAGAGTGTACTGAAACTAATATGGTCATGATGTCATTAGGTGACATGATCTTATGTGCAACCCATCATTGACTGAAGTGTCATTGTCATTATGCAGTATATATACATATATATATATGTATATATATGAAATCAGGAGGTGGCCATCTGTTCAGTTTGCCTGAGATTAGGGAATTCTCTGAGATGTGGGACCTTTAAAAGTGTCTCTAGGCTTGAGGAAACCACGTAGATATGTACTATAGAGAAGAAGAGTCGAGAAGGGGTTAGGGGAGGGTCACTTGTAGGGATTGTGGTATAATTGCAGATGTGTAGTCTGAGGCAGGCCTCACCGTTTAAAGACGTAAAGGAGGGCTGGAGAGATTCCTCAATAAGTAGAGGACTGGTCAAGGATGATGCCTGACATCAACCTTGGGCACACTCAGACATGTACATGCATACCTGCAAGCATGCTCACCACACACACACACACACACACACACGCACGCACACATGCACGCACGCATGCACACATGCACGCACGCACGCACACACATACAAATGGGAAAGGAAAATAAAAGAAAGGGAGTGACTGACACTAAATAGACTGAACAGGCTACAGTGGATGAACTCATGCAGGGACAGCTGGGGACACAAACTTGAATAGACCTTAACATATATGACAGAATGCATGAACTCCTGTGAGAAGGCTATGGTAAGGGGGAGCAGATAGGGGAGGAGGATTAAATATGATTTAGATATATTGCTTGAAATGCATAAAAATTGAATAAAAAAACACATGAAAAAAAAAAAACTTAAAAGAAGCAAGGAAGTGAGCCATGTAGAACTTTGGGGAAAAGGACTGGCAAATGCGGAGGCCCCGAGGCAGGAGCCTGTCTAAACTGTTCAATGAGCAACAAAGATATCAGAGGGTCTATGCAGAAACGTGGTGGAAATGAGATTAGACAAATAACATACAAGATCACGTTGGGCTGGTGCGTTGTGGTGGGAATGGTGAACTACGGAGGGAAATTGCTGATGGAGAAAAAGGGGGTGTGCTGTGTGAGAGGCAAAGAGGGCCCCTGGACAAGTGGAGGGTCTGGCCTTGAGTAGGGATGTGATTCTTCATCCAGAAGAACAGGAAGGAAGCCTGAACCTGCGGCATGGAGTCCAGGGATTGTCTTCTAGCTGCCGCTATTTCTTGAAGAAAATAGGAAGGTCTTTAGCTTGGGGCAGGTGCATAGCAGAAGACCGAAGTGAATGCGGGAGAGGCACCCGCGTTGCCAGCTGTGCTAAGGAGCCGCTTGGATTTAACTGAGACCCTTCTCCTCCCCTCTCCCCTCT